TTTGGTACTTAACGCCCTATCCGGCGCTTTCGTGAACATCTCTATGAGTGTCGCCAAATTTGATAGATTTGAAGACCTCGAAGATCATGTGGTCGACTACCTCGCCTCAGTGACTGACCTGAAGGTCTTTGGATGTACAGTCGACTTCTTGCAAGCTGACACGCACACCTACTTAGACAACCCAATCTGGGAAAAATTGCAGCAAAGCACAAAGTACACCATAGTGTTTCGCAGCTGCAGCGAAGTCCTTCCCTCAAAGGAGTCTTTCGAAGGGTGTCCATTCCGAGACATTCCCCTCGCAGTCCATGTCCCCATGAATCCAGAGGAGATGGTCCCTGAGGGCGCTTTCGCAGCAGTGCCGCGTCTGCGTCACGTCAGCGTAGAAGCAGGAATTGGGGTGGTGGGTGCAGAGACATGGCAGTGTTGTCGACAGCTACGGATTGTTAGAACGCCAGCTTCGGTCCGTCGGTGGTAAGAATAGCAGACAACACATTCCGAGGGTGCCAGCTGCTCCCCCGCGTCACAGCGCCTGGCTGCGTGGAGTTTGGCCATAAAGCCTTTGCTGAATGCAGCTCCCTGCAGTGGGTCTATGCCATTGAGGGCGTTGCGAATCAATTTTGTAGTTCCACCAAACTTGGGCACTTTCTCTTTGGAGATTGCATCAACTTGGCCACTTTTGTCTTGCGAGAGGCTGCTCATCCACAAGAGTTGCCAGCTCGAATGCAGGCCAGGGAGCTGTCACAAGGATGCCTCAGCTCCACAGGTATAGGCACACTTGAGCTTACGAGGAACTTCCAAGTGTTGGGAGCGCATGCCTGTGACAACTGTCAATTGTTGAAGAAATCGACTGTTGAAGAAATCGACCTTTCGAACGCACAGATCGAAGAAATACAGGAATTCACATTTGTGCACTGTGCTAGCCTTTGTGAAGTCAGACTACCATACACGCTCCACACCATAAGAGTAAAAGCCTTCATGAACCGTGCTGCACTGCCGGAACTGGCCATACCGCCTCACTGCACTGCATTGCCAGCCGAGCCTTTCTGGACTGCATTGCACTCCGTAGGCTTGTCAAGCTCCCAGGCCAGCATAAATGGAGGGGCATACAGCAGAAGAAAATGCTTTTGCCATTTGCCCGGCCATGAGATGGCCGCCTTGGTTGCGCATGATCCCTGACAGTGGTTGCGCGCCCGGCTTAGCGTAAGGCATACTCCCCTACTTTTCGAGTGTGAGTCAGGCCCCGCAAAGCAGATGGAGTCGTCATCCTCGCCTACATCGCCTGCAGTTTTGTGAGCCCACCGGAATGGCTCAGCTCTTCGTCCACGGCAGGCGGGTGGTAGCAGAGCGGTTGATGGATGGCACCCAGGGAGAACCTTAGTTGCTCGTTGGCAAAAGTACCATGCTAGGATGGGTCATTGTTTCACCTCTTTCACATGGGCCATGCATGTTGAAGGATAGTGATCTCAATGCTCACTATCTGATGGAAGAGTGAACAAACCCCATAACCGTCCTTTCGTTGCGATGCCTTCCACTTCCACACTCAAGATAAGCCACTACTTTCGTAGGAGCAATCAGTTGTATGGATTGTGCCACGGAGAGGGTATTTTCCACGGCTTGCCATGCTTTGCAACCGATGACTCTTTGGCCGTAGTCATCTGATAACTGCTGACTTTGCTCTTGGTACTTCGCATGATGTCAAACTACGCCGAGTGCCAACCATCAAAAGTGGGTTGGATGATCTCATCCTTGCCAATGGAGTGCGGCCACCTTTGATTGGCCGACCCGTGCAATTACCCACGACCAGAAACATGTTGCCTTTCGTAGCAAATTCAGGCCCTTAGATATTTTGCAGCTCGTCTTTCTCACCTGTTTCACTTTCAGTACAGAGGAAACACTGCCCACATTGGTTGGGGGTCCGCTGTGGTGGTTTTTGTGTTTGTTTTGGGGTTGGTTTTGGGTTTTTGTTTGGTGTTTTGGTGTTGGCGGTTTTTGTTTGCTTCCCCCATCAATTTGCAGTGTTTCCTTTCCTTCAACGATGACCTTGGCACACCGCCCACATGGCGTCCGCACTCGTGGAAAAAATAGCTGCTTTGGATTTCACTGCGCTCGGCTTGTGAGCAGCCCTCCTTGCAACTCTCCATGCATCCGGCGGGACAGATTGCTCTTCCTGTTCCGGCTGCCCATTGTGCGGTGAGCGCTCAACGGGTCCCACCCCGGTCGGGGGAGCCGAGGTGCTTTCGGGTGGTTCTTGTTTCCATCTCCTTCTTCTGCCTCTTGTGTCTGCAGGTGCGCTGGGCCAGTCAGTCACATTGGAAGGACAGCTGCTTGGGCAGTCGCCTTCAGTATTCATGACTACCTCTGGCGACTTTTCTTGCAGTGATACCTTCTCGCTTGTTTGTGTGGTGTGCAAGGCGGTGGCCGGTCTCTTCACACCTCCTTTCTCTTCGGTACTACTACTACTACTACAACTACTACTACCACTACTACTACTTCTACTTCTACCACTACTACAACTGCTGCTACTACTACTACCCCTCCTACCACTACTACTGCTAGTACTACTACTACTCCTACTACTACTACTACGACTACTACGACTACTACTACTACTACTACTTCTCCTACTACTACTACTACTTCTCCTACTACTACTACTACCACTACTACTACTACTACTACTACTACTACTAGTGCTACTAATACTACGGCTACTACCAACCACTACGGCTACTAGTCGTACTACTCCTACTACTACTACTACTACTACTACAACCGCTACTACAAGTACTACTACTGCTGCTGCTACAACTACTACTGCTACTTCTACTGCTGCTGCTACTGCTACTAGTATCAGTACTAGTACTATTACGACGACTACTACTACTACTACTACTACTACAACTACTAGTTCCAATACTGCTACTACTACTACTACTACTACTACTAGTTCCAATACTACTACTACTACTACTGCTACTCCCACTCCTACTACTACTACTACTACGACTACTACCACTACAAATACTACTAGTACTATTACGACTACTACAACTACTACTACAACGACAACCACTACTACTAGGACTACTAGTACTGCTGCTGCTGCTGCTACTACTACCGCTATTGCTGCTGGTACCAATACTATTACTACTACTATTATTGCTCCTGCTATTACTACTACTACTACTACTACTATGACTACTACTATGACTACTACTATGACTACTACTACTACGACTACGACTACTACTACTACTACTACTACTACTACTATACTACTACTATACTACTACTACTACTACTCCTACTCCTACTCCTACTCCTACTCGTCCTCCTGCTCCTACTACTACTGCTGCTGCTATACAAGACCTTCCTTAGCGGACTCTGGTGGAAGCTGCTGTCAGTGCAGCCCATACATTTATTGGCCGCCCTGCCAATGCTGGGCCAATTGAGACAAATGGTGCAGCCCTCTCCAGCGCATTTCGTCGTTCATGGTTTCAGTGCAGGCAGCTGTACAGGAGCAGTGATTGCCTTAGCAATTCGCTGTCTCTGGTCCCAATGTCAGATTGTTCTTTATTCAGTTGCAGGGCATAAGGCTGAAAAACCCTTGCGCTTGCCCTTGCGCCTTCTTGCGCCTATGAGGGTTTTTGCATGTTTTGACTGTTCTATTTGTTTTAGTATTAGCAAGAAAACGTGGCGCGCCCGACCTGGACATGAGAAAAGTAGTAGTAGTCGCCTGTGTGCAGGAAGCAACAGGGCAGCATTGATGATTTGGGTTCGCCCATACAACACCTCTGCTTTGCCAAAGCCTAGGGCTTCACAAGGAGCAGACCTGTGCATTCTCTGCACACATGGCGGCTCTCGTGCAAAAAAACCAGGCTTCGCTGTCACAGTAGGCTCCATTCATGCCAAGGACCAGGAAGCTGCAAGTGACCAAATTTTGTGGATGAAACCGAAAACCCAATTGATCGGGAGATTAAACTGAAAAAGTGGCAATAACGTGACCAGGGCAGCCGACTGCAGACAAAACACTCGACAACGCGGCACGGGGACAATCTGCAACACCCTTTCGACTGGAAAACGTTTGGTGGCAAACCACTTCAGCAGACCATTCACAAGGTACGAGAATGCTTTGTGATCGCATACGGGCGGCAATAGGAAGGGTTTCTTCAAGCACAAATCAAAAAATTTGTGTCTCAGTCCTGGGGTACTCGAAGAAACACCTTTGCCACCTTTGCCTTGTGTTGCCCCTCAGGGGCTTCATTCCACAAAGAACATGCATGGCGCGATTTGCGATACTTCCGTAAACTATGCCGTACCAAAAAACAATAGCAAAGTCAAGTGGAACAACTTGTAAAACATGAGGAGACAACCGATGGGTTTTACCAAGCGCCTGTTGCAGCGACGATGCCGTGGGATTCGGCGACGATCTGCGAAACGACATCTTCAAACGTATTTGCCATGTTGAGCGCGCAAGGCCAACGAAGGGCACGAAATGCAGATGAAACAGAATCAAAAAACAATGCACATCAGCAATGCAAAAATAGTAGAACACATGTACAGTACTATGCAAAGAACACACAGAAACGCAAACTGAAAAGAGTCTGCCAGGGCATCGAACGTGCACCGCAACCTTGTTGACTCCCTCTTTCATCCCGGAAATGCACACAGAGGGCCAGGTCAAATGTGTCGGGCATCTGAAAACTGTCCAAAACCAGGAGGTCTCTCAGCATTTGGTCTAGAATTTGGTCGCCCATTTTGTGTCAACATCTAATGTCATGTTTCGAGAGCGAGAAAAAGAGAGTGAGAGAGAGAGAGACATACAGAGAGACAGAGAGACAGAGAGAAAGAGAGAGAGAGAGAGAGAGAGAGAGGGAGAGAGAGGGAGAGAGAGAGAGAGAGACAGAAGCGGGAAACCACAGCAGTTGCTTTGGTAAAAACTCAGCCGATGAGGACGGGCTCAAAAATGGGGCGGCGTGGCACCCTGATGTGCTTGCAAGATGCAGGTGAATCTCTCAGCTGTTCTGGGCGCAAGACCCGCTGTATACCGTGCTAGTCGTTGTTGGTAATCTTGGAGACTGGCGCAAATTTGATCCCAAGACCTCATGCAAACATGGCAGTGGCCATCCCTCCATGAAGCCAATGATCCAAGCCTTTTCATCTGGCACAGATTGTTTTTTCCTTTGGTTGAGTATTTGCTTATGAAGTTTCACCACGTCTTGTGAAGAGCTGGCTAGGAAGGCTTGATCTGGTTTCTTGGGTGGGCTTGTCGACCTTTGATGTGCAAGAGTGTTTGCGTCCACGTGCCGGCCCAATGTGACGAGGTGGTGTTTGGTTTTAATGGTCTTGAGGGATCAAACATAGATGTGCCGACAATGAACCATCTCACCATGAATTTGTTATTGGATCCATTTTCATCCCCTCGTCTAAGAGGAAATAAGAGGCATATGTTTCAGCGTTTGTCCAAGTCCACATGACAAACAGATCCTGTGGCTGGATTTTGCCCAAAGCTGGCGGTTCACGAAGACCTGTTGGAAGATCAGATCTGGCGAATCCGAACTGATTTGGAACACCTCAATCCGAACTGACGAGTGTGTCTTCTTGCTGACATCGAATTGGCCCAGACAAGGTGGGAGTCCATTAGTTTTCAATCATCGCAGTCCGTGTTGTGAACTGGGCCTTTCTGGGGGAGGTGCCGGCCTGACCCGGGCGTTCGACCCGTGCTCTCTCTCCAAGGCCTCGCCCGACTGCCACGGACACCAGGAGGCTTGGAAAGATGGGATGCCAAACATGTTTGTCAACATGGATGTGTACCGAAAACAGGGAGACCAGCTTTCAGTGTCCAACTCGCTCCCGCCAGCGACGCTCGACCGATCGAGCTGTTTCCGTCTTCCGGAAAGCCTTATTTTGGGGACATGTTCCATCTTGCGTGTTCCATCTTCCGTGTTCCTTTAGAAGGGAACATCTGACTTTTGGTTTTGGCATCGAATCGGAGATCGGGAGATCTCTACCTTGCTCCGGGTTGGGCTGTCGAACCTCTCGCTGTGGTCAGGAGATCCGAGGTTGCCAAGCCAAGCCCTGCAACCATAGCTCCAGCTATGATTGCTTATGGCTTGGGACCCAGCTGCATTTTGTTGACAGCTGAATGAGGCTTCGATTTCAACAACCGGTCAATTCGCTTGTAGACCTGTGAGCCTGTGAGTGGAGCACATACATATTATTTAGTGATCCAACGATCAGAAGATGCCCGCCATCAACACTCCTTCACCAAAGAGTCTCAAGGTTAGCATCATGTCAAGCTTTAGATTGGTGTTTCTAGAAGCCCAAAAGCGCGCAAGCTTCAAGACATGTATGTAAATTCAAAAATGGTATGTGACATACACGCACATGCGTCCCACTACGCGGACACAGATGAGCCGCCTCCGCCTCCGCCTCCGCCTCACCGGCCTCAGGTCCCAATGGTCCAAGTGGGACCCGTGCAGTTGCGAAGGCCGGGCCAGTGGAGTTGGGAGACGACCGAAGAGCGTTGAAACCAATGGGAATTCCGAAAAAACGGAGAGAGAAAGTGCATGTCAGGATTCTTGGGAAAAGGGCATCATTTTGGGGGAAATGCTCCTGAATGTGGGGGTAGCAAAGGACTTGCTGGCGTTTCAGAAGATTTGCCGCAGACGAATTGAGATGGAGCCCTTGGTGCGGGTCGGCGAACGCTCCTTGTTGCGGTGGAAGGAAGGAACTGTTTGGATTTCACCAACCCTTCAGAGCTCAGCTTTTTCCGGCGGAGAAGACTCGTCTGACCCGGGTCTCTGAGGTCGTCCGAAAATGTGGAACTCGTGGAACTCGGTGAACTCGTGAACTCTAGTAGCGCAACAGTGAGGAATCCGTCTGAGTTGGTGGAGAAACCCCAGACGTTTCTGCTGATGTTCAGTTGCGAAGTCGTGGAAGAAGTGGACATGTTCAGTTGGCTGTCCGCCGACCGGAGGCTTCCAAACACGAAGCCGGGAGATTGCCTCGAAGGGGCACCTCGGACGCCGCAAGAACGGGCGAAAGAGCGGGCGAAAGAAGCGTGTCGTTCCGCTGGGCGAAGATCCGGATCAGGTCGCTGTGTTTCTTTAAATTTCGACCAAGGAGGATTGGATCGAGGCCTGCGAAAAGCCACTCGGGGCGAAGCTCCATGGAATGCGAGTGTGCCAACTCCTGGATGAGTGACCCAAGAACGACAACAGGAAGAGATGCTGAAAAGCTGGGATACAAACGGCCCATGGCCCATGGACACCCAAAGTATATGTATATATGTGTTGTATCCCACCCAGGTCGGATTTCCCCTATGGATTGTCCAACATAATGGGAGTTTGGGTTCTTTCTTGCATGAGCATCGGTTAGTTCGGTTTGATGATTGAGGCAGAGCTGGTGGTTTCGGCCCAGAGTTTTCAATATTTTCCAACTGTAGTTATCCCACCGACCTCATTGATGCAAACATCTAGAACCGAGACGGAGCTTTCTTTGCTTTCTCGACCCAGACGGGCCAGTTCCGATCCAACCTCTCCACGCGACTGCTCAGTGGAACAGAACAGACACCGCCGTGACCGCTCGCGGTGTCAAGGCAGCAAGGGCATCCGTGTCTTGGGGCGCAGAAGCAGCTTCGGCCCTGCAAAGGCATCTGTCGCAGGCACCGGGGAAGCGATCTGCGCGCGCGATCTGTCGGAGGCACCGGAAGCAGTTATATAAGTCAGTAAGTCTCGGTGGTCTGCCCGTGGGCAAGTCTGGGTGAGGAGGAGGAGGTGAGGTATCCTGGGGAGATGGGCGAAATCATGGTCGGAGCCGGATAGATCATACTCCTTTTGCCATCTGTTGTGCGGGAACGTCTGAATTGTGTCTTTGAATTTGGAATTGTTCCAAGACATCCGAGGTAGATACAGAGGGGTACAGGCTTTTGCCCCACATCAACATGTTCAATGTTTTTTTT